GTTTAGCAGGCCCAGGCCAGGTTTGAACCTGCCAGCCTCAGTGCATGTGGTGGGCACTTTAACCACTGTGCTATGGGCTCCAAGCCAATCTTTATTTTTCTGATGAGGAAATCCAGCCTCAGAGATGTGAAGTAACTTGCCCATGGATGCAGAGTCAATATGTTGGGGCTCATCACAAATCTCTCTGTCTCAGGACTTCACCATCTCTCTCTGCGTTAGGGAAGCCCAGGGCCAACTGTCTTTTCCAATGTGCCTTTCTTTATTTAGTCACCAACATGCTTGCTACTCTGAGTTTTTGAAGGAATGGCTTTATTTTTTCCCCTATTTTGTCCTATTCAGCAAAAAGAATGAATAAACGACTCCAGCAGTGTTTTTCAACCTTTTTTAAAATCTCATGGCATACTTGAACCTATAGTTAAACTTCCATGGCACACTTAATTATGTTGATTTGAAAAAAAAAGCGTAAAAAAATAATATACTTACTATGCTTTGAACTTCTTTCAAAGATAATTTAATTAACGGTCTTTAAAATTTTTCATGGCACACCTGAGACCCTCTCACAGCACAACAGTGTGCCACAGCACACTGGTTAAAAAATCACTTTACTATAGGCTTATGATGACACAAATTTGATTTTCTTCTAGAACTGAAAGTATTTGTCTATTTTTATTTCTCAAGCCAAAAGAATTATTTCCTCCTTCCTAAAAGTCCAGAAACAGGTTAAACTTATAGAATTTTCCTGGTTCAACAACTGGAATATGGAGCAGGTAAAAATGAAGCGACCTTGGGAACATCCCGAGGAGAACCACCTCCTCCGTTTGTGGCTTCAGCCCTCACCCACAGCCAGCAGCCCCAGCTGCAGAAGGCTCTTACCACTCACTCTGCTTCTAGTGCCTTTCAACATTCACACGCAGTTTTCTCTCATCCCAAGATCCTTGTGCTCTTGCACACTCCTGTACACATGCCATTCCCTAAGCCTGGAATGCCCTTCTTCTTCTTTGCCTGGAGAACTCCTTTCTCCTAAAGACTCCGACCAAAAGTCACTGTCCCTCTGGGACCACTTAATGCAAAGCATGCTTATTGGTTCACTTTCCTGTCATGCATTTAAAAGTTCAATCATTGAGGACAAAAGCCTGGTCTCATCATCTTTGGAATAGCTCTGGATCTGAGCTCTCAGATTGCATATAATATCTGCTAAATTAAGGTTTTGTAATCTGTATCAAAAGCTACCAAGTTCCATTCTCCTTAGCAAAGTATCTCATGAATGGAAAAGCAAGCACCCCAGGTACTCAGTACTAACTTGAAACTAGTAGATGAACAACTACAGGCCCTCACAAAAGAAAAACACAATTAAATTCAAATAGGAGAAAGGGGGCAAAGAGAGAAAGGGAGAGGGAGTGGGGGGTTGGTAAGCCAGGGCGCTACCTAACAAATGCAAATAATGTCACCCAACCATATGTACCCTTATATTAATCTGAAATTTAAAAAATAAATAATACAAATAACAATTAAAAAAAAAAAAACTACGAAGTTTCTATGCCCTTTGGCCCAGTCACCTGCATGGCAAGGAATTTGTCCCAAGGAATTACTGAACAGGAGGAAAGAAATCACACAGATGAAAGTGTTATAAAATATGTATTTGCCATAAATTTGAAACAAGTTAAATGTTTATCAACAGAGTAATGTGAGTAAATTATGGTAACTGATCTTGAAGGAACATGATTCATTCTCTTATTCATTAAACAAATATACAGACTGCCAGGAGTGTGTCAGAAATACAGCAGTGAATCAGATATTACATCTGCCTTCAATGAATACACAATATGGCAGAGTCTTCTAAAACGATAATAACAAAACTATGAAGAAACAGAGAGCTGTTTGGGGTCTAATGCTAAGAGAGAAAAAGCAGATTACCAAACTGTACGTTACGACTGCAACTGTAAACAAGTGAAAGTGAAAACAAAGCCTGTATGGGTGAATGCAGGACTAACAATATTGCTGTGGTTAGATTATGAATGACTTTTTCTTTAGCATTATTGCAATTGTTTTTCAGGCTTTAAAGTTGTATGTAGGTTATCTCAAATGTTTCTGAAAAAAGAAAGCCTCTCCAATGGCCCTAGCTTCTCTGGCTGGCAGTAGCATGAATGATTTTATTTTTCCCACATGAGTAGGGATTTGCCATGAGGCAATCATGAGGAAATACTCCAGGTAATCCGGGAGAATTGGGTTAGGGAAAGCCGTCAATCTGTACACTTGGGAGTGCTCTTTGGCTGCCATAATAGGACCTCTGTGTCTGGGGCACATCAGACAGCAGAATTTGCAGGCTGCTTCAAGTTCCATCAGCGCCTCCACTTAGGCACAGTACAATGGTGGCAGGTGTGGGGAAAGTTGAAGTCTAGGAACCACGACAGGAGGGCTGTGATCTGCAAGCGTTTGTGGTGGTTTTTTGTGCTAGAAAGGATGCTCCCTAAGTATAAGGTACCATTATCCCCCTTCTACAGATGTAGCAGGTTGGTTGGCTCCAAGCTGCCCAGTGTTTAAGTAAAAGAGTTGGGGTTGAAATCCATCACTCCTCACTTTGGGGCAGGGGTTTTTCTATTTCTCTCCCGGGCCTGAGAGCAGGCAGAGATACATGAGGTCACATGGGAGAGACCTGGCTGAGAGGATGGCTGGTGTCCCTTGGGAAGAGGGAGACTATGAGGGATCAGTTGGTGGAGCCTCCTGATGGAGGGTTCTGGAGGCCAAGCATTTGAATTTGGACTTGATGCAGTGGGCAGTGGGGAGCCCTGGTAGATTTGGAGACATGATAGAAGTGGGATTATTGATGAGGGGGCTGGCAATGGGTGCTGGCTGGTGTGATTGGGAGAGAGGCTGGGTCAGGAACATGGTAAGGATGGTGTGCAGCTTTTGTCCTGTTTGATCAGAATAATACCCACCCCTCCAACTTCTTGCAAATATGTCTTCTTGTACTTCTAACTGTGAGATTTAACTGAAACTACCTTCTTATGTATCCCTTCCCCATGGATACCACCATCTGGTCCAGGGATGGGCACCTGCTACAAACTTGGCCATTTCTTGCATGTAAAAACCCTTCCCTAGGAATTTTGCTCTTGGGACCAACAAGTCATGGGCATCGGTCTCTCTCTTGTAATAAAGCTATGTTATGTGAGTCTGAGAGATATGTTACTACTCAAGATTTGAGGCCCAGAGAGAGGAAATTCTAGCTAGGGTCAAGCCTTGGTTTCCACTCACCTTGAAGGCTCAGCCACCCCTTTGCCCATGTCACAGTATGAACACTGTTTGCCACCCCTCCAAACTAGTCTGGCTTGAATTTTTGTCATTTGTAAATATAAACAAAAATGCCCTGACTTTTGGTGTAAAAGACATGTCTCTCTTTATCATTCAAATTTTGAGCATAATTCTCAAAAAACTCTAGGGTTGGTCTGTAGGCCTTGGGCCCACCATTTCTTGCATGTAAGAAACAACAAAGAAAAAAACATGTCCTCACTATTCAGTGTCAGATTAAGGAGCTTTGGGTTCTCTGTAGAGATAAGGCCTTGTGGATCCATTCAGAGAAGGAGGGACCCATCTCCATCACTCGTGTAGTAAGTGAAATTGCTGCTCAGAACACTTCCCTGCCTGCTCCTTTGTGATTCAGATGGGGAGAAACTGACATGGACTGGACGCCCACAGAAGATAGCCAGGCATTTCCCATACAGGTGGTAAAGGTATCTTCTGAACTTCTCTCCAGCAAATGCATAGATGAGGGGATTGAGACAACAGTGGCTAAGTGCAAGTGTCTCAGTCACACTGAGGGCCAACTTTATATCCCTCCTTGTGTCGCAACTGGGAAAGAAGTCATAGAGCTTGAGTGTCTCCAGGAAGATCATAACATTGTAGGGTGTCCAGAAGAGGAAAAACACGATGACCACCAGAAAGATCAGTTTGATGGCTTTAGCTTTCTTTTGATTCTTGCAGGTAAACAGTGTCCGGATGATTCTGAAGTAGCAGTAACTCATAATGAGCAGAGGGAGCAGGAAGCCAAGAAAATTTGCTTCCACATTGCGGAGCACAGGCCAGATTTCCTGAAGGACCTCAGGGTAGTCACCAAGGCATTCGTTTTCTGTTTGCTTTGTGAACATGAACTGGGGTGTTGCCACAAAAATGGCTGCTGCCCAGACGCTGAGGCTGATAGTGACGCCATGTTGCACAGTTCGGTTGTTCATGGAGTTGGCGGCCAGGACAATGGCGAGGTACCTATCGATGCTGATGATGGTGATGAAGAATATGCCTCCGAAAAAGCCAATGAAGAAGAAGGCAGTGGTGAGTTTGCACACAGCATTGTGGAAGCCTTCCTCACTTATCATATAGTGAGTCCAGAAGGGCAAGGTGGCAACAAAGAGCAGATCAGACAGGGCCAGGTTCAGGAGGTAAATGTCAGTAATGCTCTTGGGCTTTCTGCTGTTGGTGAGGGCCAACACCACCAACATATTTCCCACCAGGCCAAAGGCAAAGACCAGGGAGTAGAATATGGACAGGAAGACAGTCCCAAAGGCCACAATGTCCCCAATGTAACAGACTTCAGCAGACTCATCATACTCAAAGTTTTCCAAAGATTCAGTAGACAGGCTGGCCATGGTGAGGGCCTGTATCAGAAGGTAAAACAAGTAACACTATTAGTTCTCAGAGGAAGAGAGGTGGAATTCTTTTTTTTTTTTTTTTCTCTTTAAATTATTTTATTCAAGAAGGTGGGGAGGACAGACAAGGGGACTGAGCTGAGCCCTGAGTCCCTAGAGAGGTGGAATTCTAACTGGCCCCACACATAGGCAGGCAGGAAGAAACTAACATCTGATGGACGTTTCCCAGCTTCACACATGCCATCTTGTCTAATCCCTGCAACAGTCTTGTGATGGAGGCTGCAACAGACTCCTTTGATAAGAGAGGCATCCAGGTACCCGAGAGGCTTAATGACTTACCCAAAGCCACAGGAATGGCTTAGAGAACATTTGGATCTAGCTTTTTTGAAGCTTAAGATAAATCTCTCTCCACCTTTTTTTTTTTTTACTTCAAAAAGTTTCTTCAGAAGATAACTAGTTTGATCAAAATGTAGATGAGGAAGAGAGGACCACAAGCAGGAAGCATGGGTGGGATGGTGGGGTGCAGCCAAAATTCACCCCTCCCATCTAACCTGCCCCAAGGTGACTCTCCACCCTCTCCCTTTATTTCCACTTTCTCCATCTTCTGTCTCCTCATTTCTCCTCCATGAAGCTAGGCCTGGAAAAGAGGTCTCAGGACTGCTCAGAGCTGACCAACATCCAGGAGCTTTCAGCTTTTTTTTTTTTAATAGGTGAAAGCACCACTGACCACAGATTATGCAATACAATTTCCTGCGTTTGGGGAAATCTCAGGGGTCAGCACATCTGGGATGCAATGGATGAGCCTCTCCGGGAAAGCCACCTTTGTAATCATTGTTTCTTCCCCACTAGGCAGGGAGCTATTTCTCTTCCTCTTCCTCTTGGAACCAACAAGTCCTTCTCTTCTTTAGCAGGGATCAGAGTCATACATAAAGTGACTCACTTTTTTGGGTTGTCCAGGACTTCCTGATTTTAGACCTGCGAGTCTCCGATCAGATACCCCTCAGTCCCAAGCAAACCAGGATGGGAGGTCATCCTACAGCCCTAAGTGAAGAGAAGGTGCTGCCACCATCCAGGGGCTCTGTAGTCACAGAAGGGACCCCTGATCTATTGTGGAGTGGGCTCACACAGCCTGCTGGGCTGGGCCCCAGTTCCTGATTTACCCAATGGTCACCAACACTGGGCTTCATTTTGGCCTCCCATTATCTATCACCTGTTTCCTTCTGAGCAGCAATTGAAAAATAAGACATTTCCATACAGTTGGGTAGTAATGCTTGCCCCACTCCCTGCTCTTCCCAGCTGGGATGCGCAGGCCACTTACTCTAGCATCAGCTGAGAGGCAGCCCTTTGCTCCTCTGAGAACCTCCTCGTCCTTGTGATGCCACGGACAGGTTCCTCAGGAACTCTGAGTGTGCGCAGAGCTTGCCTCCTGGTTAACACTGCCACCCTTCTCACCACAACTTAAAGCAAAACTCACACTTTAACCAAGGGAAATTTTCACGCCTCCCTAAACCATTTCCATGATGGTTTTACCCAAGCAGTGTCTGGCCAAGGTGAGGCCCCCTCCCCAGCCAGGCTGTTGTCTCCCTCTTCCCAGACTCTGCTCTGTGTCCTGAATCTCACACACATTCTCCCACAGTGGAGGGGGTCAGGCTGTCCCACCTAGGCCTGCTCAGGTTGGGCAGGAGTTCTCAAGCCTGGGGAACAGGTATGCTTTCTTTGCTTCAGGGAACCTCTGGCTGTGACCGTAACCAGTCAATCCTATGTAAATGGAATAGTATGAAATTGTTGACATGAAATGTTTGAGCCACATGGATGTCAGTTTCCTATTACTCAAGCTCATATACAGGGAAACAGGAATTGGTACTTAGCTCAGGTAGCTTGTCACAGAGCATAATCTTTCCAGATGTGCTTCCTTATAAGAACAGAGGTATCTTTAGTGGTCCTACGTTAGGGACACTGGGCTAGCCACACTCTGCCTCCCATTTTTCCCTAGTAAAAAGAACTGGCAAAGTGAACTCACATGGAAGTCAGAGCCCGTAAAAATCAGTCTTCACCTCTCTGTGCCTGTGGTCCGCCCCTCAGGACAGTACCTTCTGTGGACTTGGGCACTCCTGAGATTGTCCTCTCTGGCTGAGCGACAGGTGAGCATGGCAGCTCTGACCCTGACGTTTGTCGTCTGCAGGACTGGGATTCATTCTTACGAGCTGTTCTAAGGGGAGCACCTGGCATAGGTTGTTGTATACAACAGGCACTTACTAAGCGTTAGCTTTGTTTTCTGCATTATGTGAGGAGGCAGCAGCCCTCTGGACCTTTAGGTTCATCAAGGCTGCCTGTGGACTCCAGTGTTTCCTCTCCACCCTGGGCATTATGGGACTTTGGTTGTTAAAAGTCAATTTATTTTTTTCCCTGAAGTGAAACATGCTTTCTTTTCAAATTATTTGGGAGAAGGGGGAGTAAGCTATTCTTTATTTATTTATTATTTTTTGTTGTTGTTGAAACAGAGTCTCACTCTGTCACCCACAGTAAAGTGCACCTCAAACTCTTAGGCTTAAGTGATTCTCTTGCCTCAGCCTCCCAAGTAGCTGGGACTACAGGTGCCCACCACAATGCCTGGCTATTTTTCTTGTTGCAGTTGTCATTGTTGTTTTAGCTGGCTCAGGCTGGGTTGGAACCCGCCAGCCTCAGTACACGTGGCTGGCGCCCTACCCACTGAGCACAGGCGCCGCCCTAGCCACTGTTTATTGAGCTGTTACTAACTGGTCTGGCCCTGCATGCATCATCGTTATCTATTTAATCCTCTCTGTGATTCTGAAAGAAAAGTTTCTTTTTAATTTACTGCTCTAATGAATGGCTTAGCCTAAGGGCCAAGTATAGGCTTAGCCTATATTTGTTTTTTTGTTGTTGTTGTTTATTTGTTTTGAGACAGAATCTCAAGCTGTCACCCTGGATAGACTGCCTTGGTGTCATAGCTCACAGCAATCTCCAATTCGCACTCAAGCAATCCTCTTGCCTCAGCTTTTCTATTTTTAGTAGAGACGGGGTATGGGGTGACTCACTTTTGCTCAGGCTGGTCTTGAACTTGTGAGCTCAAGCAATCCACCTGCCTGGGTCTCCCAGAGTGCTAGGGTTACAGGAGTGAACCACCACACCTGACCCTAAGGGGATATTTGTGACAAGAGGGAAAGGAAGACTGGTACAAGCGTGTGGAGGAAGCAGAGATACAAACAAGTAATGGATTGCCTGGCCAAGTGGCAGAGGTGTCCCAAATCCAGCCCCTCGCCTTGCTGGGTGCCTGGGCTCAGGGCTGCCGTGCACACAGGGAACCATCTCTAATGTGTACCAGGACTCCAAATAAGCCAGAAGTGGTCCTGGTTGGAGGGGCTTGCTGTTCACTCAGAAAATACGCATGAGGTACCCACAGCACAGGCTCAACATGGCAGGGGGCTCACAGAAAGATAACACAGTCTTAGCCATGAAGGAGCTTAGCATCTGAGCAGGGAAATACACACAGACTAAGATTTTGCTAAAGACAGGATGGTGGAAGTGGGTCAATTTATCCTCTGCAGATGGGATGCAATTTCAGGTAACACTGTGGGAGGCATGACTTTGCCTGGCTGGTACTGATACTGCTTTATTGAGAGCCAAGTGGCTGGTCACGGGCATCAGTCTGTTTTGGGACCCCTCCCTGCCATGCAGAGGGTGGAGGAACAGCAGTGCTCAGCAGCCCTCATCCTGGCTCTCTCCCAGTGTAGTGTCCCCAGCAAAGACCCCAGAGCTGTCCCAGTGTGCACTGACAGTCATTGCAGCAAGCTGGAAATACAAATAAAGGGAAACAACCCCCAATGTCTGTCAGTCGGGACAGATCAAAGTACAATAAATCTAATTCATGGAATGCCAAGCACCTGCCTACAAACAAAAAACAGGCAGAGCTACATATTCTGTAGGGAAACAATTTCTAAGACATACTAGTAAGCAAAAAGAGCTTGCCGAGGTACCGTATAATGTAGTTTCGTAGAAAAGAATGATGTGTGTGTGTGTGTGTTTTATATAGGTTTAAATATCTCTGAAGAGACATAACTATCTCTGGAGAGAAGTTCTGGAGACTGGAGGATGGAGAGAAGGAGACATAGTTTTCATGTAGAATTTTTTATCATATGCACATATTACTTGTTTTAGTAAAAATATCAATTTATTTGGGTCTTTAAAAATAAAAATAGACAAAATATAGTAAGAGTTATATGAAAAACCAAAATAAAGAAGTAACCTAGTAACAAGCACACTACACTTGCTCAATAAGTGGTAGCTGACACATAAAAGCATTATCTCTGCTCTATGGGCAGGTAATGTGCTCAGAGAGGGTGAGTAACTTGCTCAAGGCCACAGAGATGTATGTGGCAGGGCTGCAATTAGGGCCCAGAGGTGTCCAGCCTCAGCACTTTTTTTTAAACTTTAAACTTAGCATTACAGCCCTCCATCAATTCCTTCTCCCAAGGCTAAAAGTTCCTAAGAGAAGAACCACATCTTTTCAGTAAGCCAGTGTTCATCAGAATTACAGGCTTGGCACAGAGTCCATGCCGTATGAATATTTGTAAGAAGATAAATATTGTTTCCTCCTCCTTCATTCTAAGGAGTACCATGAGAGTAGTGTGACAGCACCCTATTAGCTGCCCTGCTCCTGTGGGTGCTCACAGGACACAGAAGCGTACAATCTGATCACAGGCCAGGGGCCCTGGAGCTCTGAGAACTTAGTAGGTGCCTGGTGTGTTGACTGGATGAGGGAATGAAAAGCCTAAAGGAGGAAGAAAAGAGATACAGCAGCCTGGCAGCGTGAAGCCTCACAGATGCGCACAGGCCCCCCAGCTCTCCACAGTCAGAACATGGCTTGGAAGCTAAAACCTCTCACCTTGGCTGGGGACAGTGGCTCAGGCCTATCACCCTAGCACCCTGGGAGAGTGTGGGGGGCAAGGGAGTTTGCCCTTGTAGGTCACAGCTACAACGATGCC